TTAAAAAATAGGTTATCTAAGCCAGGTGATGGTGGCATGCGTGTCTTTAATCCCAGCACTTGGGAGATAGAGGCAAGAGGATCTCTGTGAGTTTGAGACCAGCCTGGTCTACAAGTGAATTCCAGGACAGCCAGGACTCGAAAAACAAAATAAATAAGTAAATAAATAAATAAAATAAAAAATAGGTTATCTAAGACTGGGAAAATCTGACTGGACTTGCAGTTCTACAGAGAGGCAGTCATTCACTATTTCTGTTTTTAAGTTTCACGCACAGCACGTTGGAAGGAATAAAGCCTTTGAATGAATGGCTATGCCCAGCAAGTGTGTGAAATGATGTGTATTGGGAGAAAGGCATTGGTGGTGAGTCTGATTGCAGCCTGGTTATTTATTGAAAGGTATGGATGCTAGATCCCCTAAGCCCTGCTGTGGAGAGGATGCTCAATGTTGCCAAACTGTGCTACACTTACCTAATTTCCAGCTAACGTTAGCATGCCCCAAGGGCACAGGGCACTATATTTACAGACTTTCTAAGGCCTGTCCAGACAGATATGCAATGTTCTTGTAGGTCCTTGGCTGTGTAAGGGTTGTCCTGTGCTAGTCCCCAGTCAGGACACATACAGGTATTTATGGGTGGCCCAACTTCTTTCCCATAAACAGTTAAAGGGGAGGGCCTGAAGTAAACTCAGACTCATCTTTTTTTTCTTTATTTTTTCAACTTTTTTTTAAAATTTGAATTAGAAACAGGGTTTTTTACATGATAATCCCAGTTTCCTTCTCCCTCCGGTCCTCCCCTAGCATCCCCCCCTCAACTAAAACCTTATCTATCACATATCCGTTCTGCTCCCCTTGGATGATGAGGCCTTCCATAGGCTGTCATCAGAGTCTATTGTATCCTTTGGGATAGGGCCTAGGCCCACCCCCATGTGTTTTGGCTCAGGGAATATTCCTCTATATGGAATGGGCTCCCAAAGTCCACAACTATGCTAGGGATAAGTACTGAAGTTCTACAGGAGGTCCCATAGATTTCTGAGGCTTCCTCACTGAGACCCATGTTCCTGGAGTCTGGATCAGTCCCATGCTGGTATTCCAGCTATCAGTCTGGGAAGCAAGAGTTCCCCGATGTTCAGGTCAGCTGTTTCGGAGGGTTTCACCATCCTGGTCTGGACCCCTTTGCTCTTCACTCATCCTTCTCTGCATCTGGGTTCCAGTTCAGTTCAGTGATTAGTTGTGGGTGTCTGCTTCTACTTCCACCAGCTGCTGGATGAAGGCTATAGGATGGCATATAAGTTAGTCATCAATCTCATTATCAGGGGAGGGCATTTAAGGTTAGCCTCTCTGTTGCTTAGATTGTTAGCTGGTGTCATCTTTGTAGATCTCCAGACATTTCCATAGTGCCTGATTTCTCTTTAAACCAAAAATGTCTCCCTCTATTATGTTATCTCCATTCTTGTTGTCATCTATTCTACCCTGACTCAACCTTTCTGCTCCTTCATGTCCTCTGCATCCCTCCTCTTCTCCCCTTCTCATTCTTCTAGTTCCCTCCCCCTCTTCCTCTGGGACACTGGTGCTAGTGAAAGAATTTTGGAGTCTCCTTTGTCTGGGCTGTGCTCTAAAAATGCCACTCACTTTCATATTGCAGCTCCAGACTTCATCTCTAACATTACCCTTCTCTCACACTAGTGTTTCTGTCTGAAAATTAGACCTGTGACTTGTTCCTCCACTAGCAGCAAGTGATAGCCCGGGGTGATACTTGGGCACGTGTAAATCCTCCTGAGAACTTCACATGGTGGGGAGAAGGAAACGTGAGAGATGCCACACCACTCTAGTGTTAACAAAGTCAAGGACTAGAGCTTTGATATCCTGGTTAAGACATTTAACCAGGTGAGTGTGGTTGTGTATGCTTCTAATCCCAGTACTGGGAAAGCAGAGGCACAGGGATGTCTGTGAGTTCCGAGCTAGCCAGTGATACATAGTAAGACACCCATTCAAAAAGAAAAAAAAATCTAATTAGAATCAAGCTAAGAATCAATGAATCCACTCTCATGAGAGTGTCCCAAATTTCAGCTCTACAACCCCTTCCCAGATGTTTTCAAGGAAAACTCTGGAAATGAATGGAATCCCTGCTAATTGATTAGGAAAGTTTGCAGAGCATCAAAAATTGTAGCTTCATTTGTCTTCTAGCCTTTTGAAGTCTGAGACCTAAGTTTTACCAGCGGTTCTATGTCATTGCTGTCCTAATCACATTGTCTGTATGCCTGAAGGCCCTTTGCTGTTTTAGCTTCATTGTTACTTGTCACAGGAGCCAGTGTCTGATTACATCACCGCTGAGACTCCACAATCCCAGTGATCTACTTTTCCAGGCCTCTTATTCCGTGAGATGAAATATAAACACCCTCCAAATTCAGGAGGTAGAAATACCCTGGGGTAGGCTCCTGGAAGGAGTGTGCCAAAGTGTATTAGTTACTTTTTTGTTGCTGTGATAAAAAACACCTGGACCAAGACAACTCTGAAGGGTTTATTTGGGTTTAGGGTTCCAGAACAAAGTCCATGCGGTGAGGGAGGTATGGCAGCACGCAGCCAGAGCGAGAAGCTGAGAGATCCTATCTTCAACCTTAAACACAAAGTAGAGAGCAAATTGGAAAGGGAGTGAGGTTATGGACTCTTAAAACCCACCTCCAGTGACATACTTCTTTCAGCAAGGCTGCACCACCAGCCTCATTAATACACTAGCCTCATTCAAATTACCACATATAGTAAATATTTCTGGGCCCAATGACATGCTTTCTGGGACTCAGCTGGCAGTATTGGAAGTAAGATCAGATCCTAATACCACCTTCAAGCTTAATGTATTGAGGCTCACTGTCCATTAGCACAGGGCCTGCCATGCTTGAGATGTTTCAGACTAATCTCCTGTAGATTGTCATTCCTGTTTACATTGCCACATTGATCACTGATCTTCTGTTACATCAGTGATCTGAAGGCGTGGTCCATGGACCATTTACATGACTGACAAACTTATAATGAAATTCTCAGGTCCCATCCCATATCAATTACAAACTCTGGGGCTGTGGCCTACGGATCTGTATTGTAATAAGCTCTCCCTATCATTTTGACATCCCTCAAACTATGAAAATGATTGTAACAACCCTCTGCGTCCTCGTATACTAGCTATTTCTTGGTCCTGACTCGGCGTCCCACTGTCCTTACATGTTCTCCACTCTCCAAGTCTCCAACTCAGCTTCTCATTGCTCTAATGCATTATCTGCTGCCACTTCCCATGTACACTCTGGAGTGTCTGCTCTTTGATCAACAGATGCCCTTATACATGCTTCATCTTCCAGGAATGTTATCCCAGTGCTTGCACTTATTGAAACCTGATCTCTGTGGTGATGACTCTGCCCAGACATATCCACCACAAGACAGGGCCTTGTCCTCCTTTCCCTCCTCCACCGTCTCTAGGTCATTATTTTTACCCCATCCCTTTGTGAAAACTCCTATTCTCTTAGGCTCTGTGGAGCTTAAGTTTATGTCAACTTGGCTATGGGATGTCTCAAATGACTGACAAGACATTATTTCTGGGTGGGTTTTGTCAAGATGTTTCTGGAATCATCATTGGAATCAGTAGACTACAGAAAGAAGGTCCACCCTCACCAATATGGCAGGGCATCATCCACTGAGGACTGTATTAGTTACTTTTCTCCTTGCTGTGACAGAAGTGCTATCACAAGTACCTTAATGGAAGGTCTTATTTGGCTCAGTGTTTTGTTATTATAGTCCTTCTTGGTAGGAAAGTCTTAGCCATTGAAGTCTGAGGCAGCTGATCACATTGCATCCTGTCAGGAAGCAGGGAGGAAAGGGGGGAGAGAGGGGGAGGGGAAAGACAGAGACAGAGACAGAGACACACAGAGAGAGACAGACAGACACACACACACACACACACACACACACACACACAGAGATAGTACTCAGTTCCCCTTCTCCTTTTCATTCTGCCCAGGACCTCAGTCCCCCAAATACAGTTTCCTATATTTAGGGTGGATACTCCCTACCTTAGTTAACCCAATCTATAAACTCCCTCACAGGCTTGCCCAGAAATTTGCCTGTCTCTTACATGACTCTAGATCCTGTCAAGTTGGTACTATAAAGACCAGTCATAAAGACCCATATTGAACATAAATGTGGGAAAAGTGTGAATTCTCAGGTCTTGGTTGCTCTTCATGGTCTGGAACACACATAGTTCTCTCCTGCTTTCAGATATTGCCTGTTCTTGGAAATTGGGGCTCTTGGACTTACAGCTTATTCATCAAACTTTGTTTTAAGGGCTAGGGCAAGCCATTGAAGAGCTCAAGAAGCTGCCTGAAATGGCCAGAACACATTAATGCAAAGAAAGTCAGATTTACTTTTGTTCAAAGTTTAACAATAACAATCCAACATGGCAGGAAAGTCTTAGCCACTGGAGTCTGAGGCAGCTGGTCACATTGCATCCCATCAAAGATCCAAGAGGGAGGGAGGGAGGGAGGGAGGGAGGGAGGGAAAGAAGAGAGAGTAGGGTGACCCAAAGCACAATGAGGAGAGAATTCTGCTGTGGTCTAGCTGGGAGGTGAAAGTGTTGGACTAGAAAGATGATCCATTCTTTCTCTGGACCTTTCTCAGGCTGGAATGCAGTTTAGTGCTAGAGCACTTGCTGCACTTACAAACCCTTGGGGTTTGCTCCTCAGTGCTATGAAACAAACCACCACAACAGAAACTTCTTGTCTCCGTATTGTCCTCTGGAGATGGTGGGATCCTGGACTAGCAGCATTCTATCAGGTAACTTACAGTCCAGTTTTTCAGACTTTACCCTACTCACTCACATACTTTAATTCTAATTCTTCCCATCCCATCATTTTCAGCAAATAGCCATCACCTCTATTTTACAGGAAAAATAAAATGAATCCATCCTGTAGTAATCCCTTCCATTTCTAACTACTGTCACTACACATAGCTACGAATGATTTCCTTCAGTCACTCACACAAAAGAAGTGTCTCTCCTCCTGTGGTTGAGTCCCCAGTGTCCTCCATCCTTGTGTGCACAACTCTTTGCCTACATGGGAAAAACAACAAAATTGCACCTCCTCAACCTCCAGCTATCATCCTGGTGCCAATCAGAGCCCCCCCCCGCCCCCCAGACAGGGTTGCTCTGTGGCTTTGGAGGCTGTCCTGGAACTAGCTCTTGTAGACCAGGCTGGTCTCGAACTCACAGAGATCCACCTGCCTCTGTCTTCTGAGTGCTGGGATTAAAGGCATGCACCAGCACCACCCGGCCATCCAGTTCTTAAAATCAGATTTCCCAGTCTCTGTCTTCACTGTTCAGAATTGTTTGACACAGTTGATTGTTTGCAATCATTTCTTCTTTGATTTCTCTGATGTCATAGCCCCCTTTTTTTACTTGCATGTTTCCTTCCCTGTACTATGTGGCTTGAACCCGAGTCCTCGGGAAGAACAGTCAGTGCTCTTAACCATTGAGCCATCTCTCCAGCCCCCTGATCCTCTTATTTTTATTATTTCAATATATCTCATTGATTCTCACCACCAGATCAATAGCTAGCTATATATGAATGAATTGCACATTGACTGTTTAACTAGAGGACTCTCAACTCGAGGACTGATAAATGTCTGCTTAGTAAGCTCATATGGATATCTTATAACCTTTACAAACTTAACACGTATAAAATCGAACTTTCCACCTTCTACTGCACCATCTAGTTCTTCTGCAGAGAGGGATCTATTATTTATCAGATGCACAAATCAGAAACCCATGTCACGTATGACTCCTTTCCCTCCCTTACCACCCCCCCACATTTTGTCAATTACTGAGTTCTATTTATCTCACCTCTGAAGTACTATATATAAAATATATGTGTATCTATCTGTCCCATTGAAATTTCTCCATATCTCCTGGCAGTCCTTGGTCTAAGCCACTGTCACTTTTATGACAATAGTGTGTTATGGAATATTATTTTAACTGGGCAAAGATGTGTTACATTTGTTTATGCTGGAGAATATTACTTTTACTGTGTAAAGGCATGTTACCTTTGTTTATTCTGTATTTGTTTAATTATGTAAAAATATGTTGCATTTGTTTCACCTTGCTTACCCAAGGCACCTGATTGGCCTAATAAAGAGCTGACCAGCCAATAGCTAGGCAGAAGAGGGAAAGCTGAATCTTATGGGCAGAGAGAATAAATAGGAAGAGGAATCTAGGCATGAGAGAAAAAAAGAACGAGGAGAAAAGAACAAGGGATATGCTCAGGGAAGTCAGGCAGCCACTGCCAGACAGACAGATACTGTGAAAGGAAGATATATAGAAGGAAAGAAAAATAAAAAGCCTGAGGCAAAAGGTAGATAAACAAGTTAATTAAAGTTGTGGGGTGGTGGTGGTGCATGCCTTTAATCCCAGTACTCTGGGAGGTAGAGGCAGTTGGACCTCTGTGAGTTCTAGGCCAGTTTGGTCTACAAAGCTACACAGAGAAACCCTGTCTCGAAACACCCCCTTCCCAATTTTTAAAAAAGAGATAGCTAGAAATGAGCTTAAGCTAGACTGAGCATTTATAACTAATAAGAAGTCTCCATATCACGATTTGGGAGCTGGTTGGTGGCCCAAAAGAAAAAGCCTGGTATAGCAGTGGCCTCTCTTTTTCCTACATCCACATTTGCCTCTCTCAAATCTATTTTCTGCAAAGCAACCAGAGTGAGCTTTGAAAAATACAGATCTGATTAGACCAATATATCCTGTTTCACTCTCCCGGGGTTGAAAATGAGGTCACATTCCTCTTAGTGCTCAATCAGATGACTCCAGGCCTTCAACTTGTCTCCCTTGTGTGATAATTTCGGATTCCAAAGGTTCAAATTGTCTTAATAAACAGAATTGGAAAATTTGTGCAGATTCTTTTTCACTTGCTGTGACTGCCAGTAAAACACAGGAATTCTACCTAGTCTTCTGGCATTCGGAGACCTTATTCTTTGCAGTGTGATTTGCTATGGCCAGATGTAACCAAAGACCCAGGGTGGTATACTTCTAGAAGGAGGAAAAGAAAAACAACCTTTGGAAGCATTCAGCTATGACAGCTCAGTGTCACAGGCTTAGGATCTAAACACTTCCTCTCTTACCTTACACATCATTTTGTTCATACAGGGTGAGTTGTTCTGATTGATGTTGGCATCTGCCTTTTCTCCGAGGCAAAGCCCTAATGGTTTTGTGGCTCACAGATAAGATTGTTTCTGTCTATCTGCACAAGAGGTTCAAGAGAACATGGTGAAACAGAAGGGAAGGTAGAGCCCTACCCAATCCCGAGGTATTTGAAGACTATGTGTGTTTTGTCTAAGAAGCACCATTGCCTCAGCTGATCTTTAACCAAACTGTCCTTAATTCTCATCTAAGTTCTGTTTTTGCTTCTTTACCTGACCACTAATTCAAGTTAGAAACTTCAAGAATCCCAGAAGTGGGCCAAATGTGGTGGCACACACCTTTAATCCCAGCACTTGAGAGGCAGAGGCAGTCGGATCTTTGTGAGTTTGAGGTCAACCTAGTCTACATAGCGAGTTTGGGGACAGCCAGGGCTATGTAGAAAGAATCTGTCTCAAAACAAAGACAAAAGAAACAAAACAACCAAACCAAACCAAAAAGCGAGCAAGCAAACAAAACTGAGCCATCTCTCTAAGCCTGAAAAGAAAGTGTGCTTAGAGTCTAGGACGCATAAACCAAGAGTCAATGGCTAAGTGTCAGAAACTGAATTATCTACAGAGTTTTATATATGCATTTCCCAGTGAGATGTTCTAAAGTTTTCATGAGAATGTCAGGGTATATATTTCCATAGCAAAGCTAACACCATGCTTTTATGTGCCTAGTTTCATTGATTCAACATTATGTAGACCTATTGACATTGTAAAATATAACAGTGACCTACTCATTTCTGAGGTATCTGATCTTTGAAGTAGTGGTTCATGACTTTAATCCCAGTGTTCTGGCGGTGAACTCAAGGCCAGTCTGGTCTACAAAGAAAGTCCCAGTCTAGTCAGGGTTACACAGAGATACCTTGTCTCAAACAAGTGTTTTCCTTGCTCCAATAATTTCATTTTTTTTTCTTGAGAGGACTGGAGATATAGCGGTGCAATTAAGAGCACTGGCTGTTCCTCCCAGACTCCCAGTCCTCAAATGGCGGCTTCCAACTGTCTGTAACTCCATTTCCAGGGGATCCAACATCTTCTTCTGGTTTCCAAGGACACTGTACACACATGGTGCACAGAAATCCATGCAGGCAAAATATCCATACACATAAAAGATAAAAATCAGTAAAAACTTAAAAATCACTTGTATCCTCTGACTATCTGTGGTCTTCAGGCTTGCATTATCAGCATCATTATAAGTCCCAGTGTTCCCTACAGTAAGTACATATACGTGTAGGCTTGGCTACTCTCGTCAATTACCTATACAGGGGTAGTTTCATAGGCAGTGCTTCCAATTTTGTTTTTATTGTCTTATTGATATGGGTACTTTGCCTGCATGTGTGTCTGGTGACAGAGGAGGCCAGAAGATGTTGGGTCCCTTGGAACTGGAGTTACAGATGGTTGTGAGCCCCCACGTGGGTGCTGGAAATTGAATCCCAGTCCTCAGGAAGAACATGCAGAGCTCTTAACCTGTGAGCCATCTCTCAGGACGTCATGCTTTTTTTTTTTTTAATTGTTATTAGAAACAAGCTTCTTTTACATATCAATCCCAGTTCCCTCTCTCTCCCTTCCACCCCTGTCCTCCAACCCACTATCCCAACCCCTTTCTGCTCCCCAGGGAGATCGAGGCCTTCCACTGGGGATCTTCAAAGTCTGTCATCTCATTTGGAGCAGGTCCTAGACCCTCCCCTATGTATCTAGGCTTGCATTAGATACTTGGAGAGGCTAGCCCTCTCCAAGTGGAGAGGGCTCCCAAAGTCCGTTTGTATACTAGGGATAAATACTGATCCACTACCAGAGGCCCCATAGATTGTCCAAACCTCCAAACTGACATCCTTGCTTAGGGGGTCTGGAACGGTCCTATGCTGGTTTCCCAGCTATCAGTCTGGGGTCCATGAGCAACTCCTTGTTCAGGTCAGCTGTCCCTGTGGGTTTCTCCAGTCTGGTTCTGACCCCTTTGCTCATCACTCCTCCCTCTCTGCAACTGGATTCGAGTTCAGCTGTGTTTAGCTGTGGGTGACTGCCTCTGCTTCCATCAGCTACTGGATGAAGGCTTTAGGATGGCATATAAGGTAGTCATCAATCTCATCGGAGAATGGCATTTATTGTTAGTTGGGGTCAAACTCGTAGATCTCTGGACATTTCCTTAGTGCCAGAATTCTCTTTAAACCTTTAATGGCTCCCTCTATTATAGTATCTCTTTTCTTGCTCTCCTCAGTTCTTCTCCTGACTAAATCTTCCTGCTCATGTCCTCCTCTTCTCCCCCTCTCTATCTCCTAGCACCCTCTCCTCCCTCCCCCATGCTCCCAATGAGCTCAGGAGATCTTGTCCCTTTCCCCTTCTCCGGGTCGCTCTTAGGGTCCTCTTTGTTTCCTAGCTTCTCTGGCAGTGTGGAGTGTAGGCTGGTAATCCTTTGCTCTATGTCTAAAATCCATATGTGAGTATGTATGTACCATTTTTGTCTTTTTGTGACAAGTCGTGCTTTTAAGGAGCCCTGAGTGTATGAAACCCTTCCGGTCTTCACACCGCCCCTCCATCTCACTACTTGCAGAGTCACCTTCCTTTTCCTTATCCTAAGTGTCCATTCACCATTCTGTGTGCATTCTCCCAACCGATTTTTCTCAATATTTTGTCTCCCACCTTGCAATGTTTGCTCCTTTCCTGTAGCAGCCACTAGAATTTGCAGACATCTTCCACCTGTGTGGTGATTGTCAATGCCCTCCACTTTACATTCCTCACAGCACTCTCTGGGAAGACAGATACATTGATGGCATTGGAAGAAAAACTTTTGAATATTTTGGGCACTTATTTTGTGAAAATGCTTCAATACATGCAGTTTCCTCTAGTAAACAGAGATTCACTAGCTTAGGTTTACAAAAAGGATTTTTAAACTTATTTGTTGTTTGTTTTTGGAGACAGGATCTCTCTGTGTAGTCCTGGCTGTCCTGGAACTACCTTTTAGGTCAGACTGGAACTCACAGAGATCCACCTGCCTCTGCTTCCCTAGTACTGGGTTTAAAGGCTCGTGCCACCACAGCCTGGCTTGAGCCTGAGTTTTTTAAATGCATTGTCCTCAAGTACCAAATTTGGGGATATAGATGCAATGTCTGGGATAGTACTTGGGAACTTAATTTTAATAAAAATACTAGATGAATTTTGAAGTCTCTGGTTCTGGTAGGGTGAGGCTCACACACCTCTTTCTTTCATTTGCAAATTCTACCATCCATGGAAAACCCTATATAAGACTTAATTTGAGCCAGGCGTTGGTGGTGCACACCTTTAATCCCAGCACTTGGGAGGCAGCGGCAGGTGGGTCTCTGTGAGTTTGAGGCCAGCCTGGTCTCCAGAGCAAGTACCAGGATAGGCTCCAAAGCTACACAGAGAAACCCTGTCTGGAAAAACCAAAAAAAAAAAAAAAAAAGACTTAATTTGAAAGTTAAGTTTTTTGTTTTGTTTTCCAGACAAGATTTCTCTGTAGCCCTGGCTGTCCTGGAACTCACTCTGTAAACCAGGCTGGCCTCAAACTCACAGAGATCCACCTGCTCCTGTCTCCCAAGTACTAGGATTAAAGGTGTACACCACCAGTTGGGTTAAATGCTTTTTAAAAATGAGTTGCAATGGTCATGGTGTCTCTTCACAGCAACAGAACACTGACTAAGACAGTCTCCAAGTGCTTCCTCTTTTGCCAATGTTATTTCAATGTTTTTATTGTAAAATGTTAATGATAAACATTTTTTCCTCTTGAAATAAAACACACATTCCCAACACTGGTATTCTGACATTTTGGCTCCCATAATAGTGTTTTTTTTTCTTTTTAATGTATACTATACAATGTTTAGAAGCATCTTTGACTTCCATCTACTGGATGCAATTAATATCACTCCCTCAAATTGTGTCATCAAAAAATACCTACATACATTGCCAGACATCATAAGGAGCAGTCACCACAGGCAGACAAACACTAGAGAGATGAAGTTAAAACTATGCAAGTCACCTAAGCAACTACATGGAAAAGTTCAGTGCCTTTGGCCAAAGTGTTTATTATACTGAAAATAGTGTGTAGCTCCTCATAGTGTTCCTTAAGAAACAGCAGTATTACTCTCTGTTGGATTGATCTTGAGTTGGCTGCTGAGTAGGAAACCAAGTAACCACACAGATACCTGCAGAGGCAAACTCAGTCCTGCAGGGTCACCCAGCACTCTGGGTCTAGGACTTCACCCACTGAATCCTTGAGTTCTCAGCAGATATGAAGGTCAGACATCCAGAATATCATATCTGCCTGAAGGCACCTCATGCAGCTCCTGTCAGAAACCTACCATCTTGAAGAACTTGGCTCATGCTGTAGAGCTCCCAGCTGTCTACTTGTTTCCCAGAAATCGTAGGACCTCTTTTACCTTGGAGAAAGAGAAAAATATCTTCCTACTAAGGAGCCCAGTAAAGAGGACCACTTCAAGATGTGTAGTATCCCCATCATCCCACCAGCATTCCTATGCAGTGTACTTTGACTATTGAGCCTGACTCCAGGACACAGTCTGCAGAACCTTGGTTCTGCCTCTACCTCTCCACTCTGGGTTTGCTGGTCCTGCTTTGGCTTTGAAGGGCTAGAAATGTAGCACGAATTATAATTGTTCTTAATAATAAAAACTCAGGCTGGACAGTGGTGGTGGCGCATGCCTTTAATTCCAGCACTCAGGAGGGCAGCCAGGACTATTACACAGAGAAACCCTGTCTCAAAAAACCCGAAATAGTAATAATATAAAACTCAGAGTCAGATATTGGGTTTAATGCTGAAGATCAGAGAAGCAAAGTGGCCAGCCACTGGAGTTCTTACCTCTACCAATGCTCAGACCAAAGGGGCAATCCTGTCCTCAGACTGTAAAGCTCCTCAGACTGCAGTGCTCTCCTGTCTCCTCCAGCCTTATATTCCTCTCTCTGTCCTGCCATACCACTCCTGTCTCCACTTCCCTAGTGCTGGGATTAAAGGCATGCCACTTGAAGTGCTAGGATCATCTTTGTGTGACCTCTCTCTTTTAGACTGGATCAATTTCATGTAGCCCAGGGTGGCCTTGAACTAATAGAGATTCATCTGCCTCTGTCTCCCAAATGCTAGGATTAAAGGCGTGTACCACTACTGCCTGGCCTCTGTGGCTAACTAGTGTGGCTAGTTTTGCACTCTGATTTTCATGCAAGCTTTGTTAGATCATAAACAAAATATCACCACACAGGATTCTTGCTGGGAGTTTTATCCGTGGTGTGTTCAATGTTGAGATCCCCAAAGTTCCTGAGACACCTTGGGCTCCACACCACACTTCTCTAGAATCCCTCCATGATGGTGAAAGGAAAATGAAAGGTTTCAGAAATACAGAAATTGAAGTGGATTGAGTGGTGTGAGCATGAATGATGAGTTTGAAACTGCTAAACAGTTTGATCTTCTGGTCAAATGAGATAAAGTGGGGATGCACCTGTTCAGATTTTCCCTTCTCCCCACTTATACTGCCCCTCAAATGGAACAAGACGTACCTTCCCTGACTGTATCAGGGAGGGTGTTTCTGGCCCTTCATGTCGTAAAATGGTCACTTTGGTGTTTCTAGAGTACTGGGGAAGAGAACCACTATTGCTCTGCAGTAACCATGACAGATACAGGCCCCATAGGATATGACTGATCTTGAACTGTCCCTTTGTAGTTTCCTGTTTTGGGTGGCTTGGAGCCCAGTCACCAGACAATCTGTGTAGAAGCTTTGGGTTTTCTCTTCAGTTCTTTAGATCGAAGAGAGAATCCAGGGCTGGATACATTTTTGTACTCTTGGGGAAGAAGCTGGACATAGAGCATGTGGGGGGTGAAATGTGCAGGACTGAGGTAGCCATAGTTGAGTTAGGCACAAGTGTTGGCTATGCAGAACCATTAAACATCTGTTCTGCAGTTGACATGTTGGGCAATGCAGTACTGCTACTGGGGCAAAAGGAGGTATGTGTATTTCATGGTGTGGTCCAGATGCCACCAACTTAAGGTTCACAGTCTCTGCTTGGTTGCCTGCATGGGGGCAAGGAGTGAGCCCTTTTCTTTCAAAATGAGCACCACAGTGTGGTCACCCTGAGATGTTGGTTGAAAGGTTCCATTCCCATGAGCATTTTGCAACTATGCTTGTAGAGTTTCAGGCAGCTTTTCTCACGTGCCAGAAAGTTGTGCAGCTTTCCAGTTAGTTTGGATATTATGCTTTCATAAGACCACTCCCCAGGAAGGTGCTGGCAGTGGAAAGATGTGGGGTATCTTACAATTTTTTCTGGGGAGGTGACCTACTTTTCCTTTCCTCAGTATGGCAGAAAGTATGGTTTTGAAGACTGATTGCCCTATCCACTTCCATACGCCTGGCCATTTGACTTTACACTTTTAAGTTCAAGGGAGAAGCTAAGGGGACTGTGAAAAGACTGGTAAAAAAATGCCAGTGAGGTGAGTGTATGGTGAGTGAGAGTACCAACCTGACAGGAATAGATAAAGGCATGGGGGCTGGGGAGGTGGCATGTTGTCAGTTTAATGCCTTATGCTATTAAACTTTGGAGCAGGCCCCCGGACAGGGTGGACACAGGTAGTTATGAGTGGAGCTGATCCTTTGTGAAGAACAAACTGTGTAGTGTGAGAGAAAATTGGGATTTAATTTCAAACAAACCATTAAAGAATAAATGTTTTGGAGCTCAGTTGGAAGCCCCAGCACTATATTAACTAGGACTGATGGCACATGCCTATAATTCCAGCACTTGGGAGTTGGAGGAAGGATCAAGAGTTCAGGTCAGGGGTGCAGTGAAGACTAAGTGTTTCAGGGATCATAGTGCTTTTTCAGAAGACTTGAGTTCTAGTCCCAGCACTCAAATTGGGCTGCTCTAAAATATCTAACTCCAGCTCCAAGGTATGTGATGCCCTTTTCTGGTCTCTGCTGGTACCTACACTCACATGCAAGTACCTACACACATACACAAATTAAAAATACAACCCCTCCCAAAAGCCTCAATGTCATCCTTGGCTACATGGTGATTTTGAGGCCAGTCCAGGCTACTTAGGTCCTGTCTCACAAACAAAAACAGTATTTGGGAAAATTAAAAAACAAAAAACCCTATTCTGAACATACTGTGTTTTTCTCCACAAAACACAAATTTCTATATCTAGGAATAACATCACAATCAAGAAAAGGTGTACAAGCCAGCCTTTTAATCCCAGCAATCGGGAGGCAGAGGCAGGTGAATCTGTTTGAGGCCAGCCTGGTCTACAAAGCTACACAGAGAAACCTTGTCTTGAAAAACCCAAATAAAATATATATTGAATACTATTTAGGTTAAGGCAGTAAAGAGACAGTATGGATCAACTGTTATAACCAGTATCAAAATTGATGCACTAATATGGAGGAAATAATTGACAAGATATTTGTGTCAGGCATGGTATTTTGAAAACACATAGCTGAAAAGGCAGAGCGTAGGTTAAATGGTAGCTTGTGGACCATAATTAAGTTGGCTGAATTAGTAGGAAAGGGAGTATTAGGAAAAAATATAGAAATACTTCTGATGTGTATTAAAATAAAGAGCCTTATTTGTACATGCAATGAGGGTCCTACTTTCCCCAGGTTTCGCACTGTCAAGCTGAAGCAAAGATGTACTAGATGAAAAAATCTTTTTCTCTACACATGAACTTGACATCACCCAGAATTTGGTAGGCTGGGGCAGGAGAATTGTCATGAGATTGCAGCCAACCTGGGCTATATAGTGAGTTCAAGGCCAGCCTAGGCTACATAGTGAGGCTGTGTGTGTGTGTGTGTATGTGTGTAAAATAACCAAAGAGGGGGAAAAGGCATTAGTACCTGGACTAATTTTACTAAAATCCTTTAAGTACTTTTGCTATTGTCACTGTGGAAACATCAGAAAGCTGTGGTCTCAGGGATTAAAGAATATCTGCTTGGAAAATCTGGGGGGTTAAAATGCACTATTGTGGATAATACCAAGATTTGAGGATACTTGGCAAGTATTTTCCACCAGTGTTTTGTACTCTCCCTTGGGTTTGTTAAAACATTTTTATATTCTTTTCACTAAAATGTTGATTCTATTATATGGCTCTGGAGAAAAAAAAGTTAAAATACAGCAGTGATTTAAAGTTTTGCATGAATATTTCCCTTTTTTTCAAACAGGAAATGGACATATTTGGTTTACTGAGGTCATTTCATTGGGCTAGGCAGGAAGTCAGCCTAAAGATGCAGCTTTCCCTTAAATGTTTTGGTTTTCCTGGCCTTGCTGTTACTCCAAGAATATCAGAACAAGACGGGCAGTGGTGGCGCATGCCTTTAATCCCAGCACTCGGGAGGCAGACGCAGAGGCAGAGGCAGGTGGATCTCAGTGAGTTCGAGGCCAGCTAGGTCTACAGAGCTAGTTCCAGGACAGCCAGAGCTGTTAAGACAGAGAAATTGTCCGGAAAAACAAAAAACAAAAAACCAGAACAGAAAAAAAAAATCAGAACAGAAAGAAAAAAGGGATTGAGATGATAGATCACGGAAAGTGAAACAATAACAGCTACACATGTTCACCAAATATTTTGAGTACATTGACTTTCCCACTGAGGTCTCTGACAGAATATCATCTCTTGATCCTCTTGAAGTTGAATAGCATTTCACGAAACTCTGGCATATGTCAAATATCTAGAGTCAGGCATGGTGATGTGTGCTTGTAATCCCATCACTCAGGAGGCTTTGGTAGGAGTATAGTTCAAACTGGTCTGAGCTACACCGTGAGATCCTGACTTAACATCCTTCATTCCCCACTACCAGAGAGATCTGTCTGACAGTCTTATATAATCGAAAGCTTCTCTGGCACTCTGGTCTACTGAACAACTTATGAGCACAGCCCTCTGTTAAACTATGGTATGTTTAAGATAGGGACTTGAAAACTTCCATTAGAGATTTGACATTTTTTGGAGGGACTGTGTGTTTATGTGGGTATGTACTTTCCACCACAAGCATTTGAAGGTCAGAAATCAACTTGCTAGACTCCATTTTCTCTATCATGTGGTTCTTGGGGATCAAACTCAGGTTGTCAGGCTTAGGGCAAGTGTTTTTTCTCACTGACCCACCTTAGTGGCTTGTATTTTAGATGTTGCACACTGTGTTACAGTGACTTGATTTGTTCTGGCATGAAAGTCACCATAGGAACATGACAGATAAAAAGGATCCAGAGATTTCTATTGGGATTCAGACTTCAAGCTGAAGAAAAGCAAAGCAGCTGGCCACTAGCTCTTACCACTTCAGGCTGATCCTGCTGCCTCTCCTCAGTGTTGCTGGCCATGATTTTCACTCTTTGGTATCCATCAGAGTTATCCACAGAGCATGTTAAAACACATTGCTGGGCTCTATGTAAGAGGTTTCTCATCCTGTCTATGGAGAGTTTGTCTATTGGTTAAGTACTGCAGAATCAAACAATTTTTAAAAACTCTTCAAAATTCTGAAGATTTTATTAAAACAAAGGCTAATGCAAGATATAGTGATAGTGACATTGGTTAGTCTGAATATGCTTAGAGTTACAAGTAGCTAAGGATCATAATCCTCTCTAGGCACTAGAATTTTTTTTTTTTTTGGTTTTTCGAGACAGGGTTTCTCTGTGGCTTTGGAGGCTGTCCTGGAACTAGCTCTTGTAGATCAGGCTGGTCCCGAACTCAGAGATCTGCCTGCCTCTGAGTGCTGGGATTAAAGGCGTGCACCACCAACGCCCGGCTTAGGCACTAGAATTTTTTTTAATCAGCACTAAATACAGCTTATTTAAGTCTAATCATACCTGACATACACCTGGTTAGCAAATATTTTGGTTCTACTATTACAATGTCAAATGAATCCAACCCTTGTCACTGCCTAACTGGTTCTACAATTACAATGTATATAATGAATGCAACTCACCTTTACTGCTTGTCACTGTTTTTGGCTCCCTGGTCTCTTTTTTTTCCAGACAGGGTTTCTCTGTGTAGCTTTGGAGTCTGTCCTGGAACTTGATTTGTAGACCAGGCTAGCCTCAAACTTGAGGTCTGTCTGCCTTCCTAGTGCTGGGATTAAAAGGCATGTACCACCACCACCACCGAGTGATTCAAAACACAAGTTGATGATGAAACTAACATTCTCCATCTCACTCAGCAAATACTGGCCAGGTTCCTTCTATTTCTTTATTTCCTACTCCTTGCTTTAGCCACTATGGAACCCATAAAGACTTTTTTTTCCCCAATAGGATCTCACTATGCAGCTCTTGCTTGGTCTGGAACTCAATGTGTAGACTAGGCTAGTCTTGAACTCAGAGGCCTGCCTGCCTCTGCCTCTCCAGTGCTGGTATTAAAGGCAGGGGTGCCCATGGGAGTTTCCTCTTAGTTCAAATCAAGTTCCCTTTACTACAAAGGTCCTCCTCTAAGCCTTCCTTTAGTCTCTGTAAGTACTCCAGTAAAGCTTTCACTGGCCACCACCTTTTTGCTTCCTTTACTTCCCTGTTATTTGTGCACACTATCCCCTTCAAACTCCATAAAAAATTCTTTTTCACCATTCCTAGCACTGAAGAGTTCCTAGTAAGCCATCATTTGCCCAATAAATATTAAAATGTACAGATTACAGATTTGACTGCTAACTGGAATATCTCAAGGCCACAGGTTGCTCTTGTTTTTCTAGGAAACAGCAGCATATCTCAGTATGTACTGGTGCCAGCCAGTATTATTCACTTTAATCTCCAGGAACAGTGACTTTTGTAGAATCCTCTTCTAAACCGGGAGTTGGCACACGCCTTTAATCCCAGCACTCAGGAGGCAGAGGCAGGCGGATCTCTGGGAGTTCAAGGCCAGCCTGGTCTCCAGAGCAAGTGCCAGGATAGAATCCAAAGTTACACAGAGAAACCCTGTCTCGAAACCCACCCCCACCTCCCACGCCCCGAGTACCCATTTTCTACTCATTGTTCACCCCCATCCTGCCTGGACCTGCCTGGAATAACTGTCTTGTAGAAAAGTCCCTAATCTCCCATCTAGCATAGTCTTTGAAGTTTTGGGTAAAATCTAAAACAAAGGGGGGAAAGCTGAGAAATTCATGATAGGCCCTGAACCTTTTTGTTATCTATCTCAGGGTAGGTGAAGACGATTTTTAACATGACCTGGGGAATTTTAGGATATCAAAAAGCCATCAAGGATGCTCATTCCCCACGGATTCTACAGAGAATGCCTAGGTTACTGGATGACTGCTATGTGGCCAGTTGTCTATTTTCCGACCTTTTAGGGTGAGTTTGCTTGCTGTGCATATAGGAGGAATCCTAGAAGCTGGGATTGTACCACCCACCCCACACTTTCAGAAACCTTTGCCTCCCCCCACCCCCACTGCCCCCAAATAAGGGCTCTACAAGGGGCAGTCCCCGGCTCCGGAGCCAGCCTCTTGACACCTTTTGTCCCAGCATGGATGTCAAGTGATTTTGCCTGAAGGACCCCGACTTAGGTTTCACTCAAAACTCAAAAGTTCTGCTGTAGCGGCCTCTGTGGGGGGTACTGTGAAGATTTGCAGAGTGGCAGGAGCCAGCCCAGGGGTTCAGGCCAGGCGGGGACGCGGCCCGACGATGTTTCCTGACAGGCGTTCACAACGGGCAGCCCCAGCGGCTTGAAGGCCCCTGCTCCCTATTGCTCCCCCCCCACCCCTCCCGGAGTCAGAGCGCTGCCTGGCTAAGTCCCTCCCGCGCCGGCTCTTGTCCCACTAGGAGCAGCTCGGTGCAGCGGGGACAGGGCGAAGCGGTCTGCGCCCACGGAGCGCACGCCTCTGCTCGCAACGCAGCGCCACCCTTGCCCCCGTCGGCTGCCCACTCCAGA